TTTTGCCATCCAGCTGCTCGGGTGTCACAAATTCCTCCAGAGCTGTGGTGACAGATGAGGCTGCCTGGAGGAGTGAGAAAGGAGAGCACTGAGCTGTGGGAAATACCCTCGCCAAGCACTCACTAGGAGCTTACACAAAAACCCAGCTAGATGACGTTGAGGAGAGCCACTGCGAACCCCCAGGCAGTGTCCAGGAGGAGGCAGAAAGAGGGTATTATGGTCGACATTTCCCTCATTTCCCCAGGATTTCTGGGGCTGTCAAGAGCTACGTGCCTGTGCCACCGCTCAGTTCAGTTCCCGATGGTGTGGAGGGTCATCGGTAAGGAAAACAACGCAACACATCAGCCTAGGAGCCAGATGGGTGTTGAGGGAGGGCAAAAGAAAGAGGGATGAGAGTCTATCAAGGGTGCAGCGAGGATAATGGGTGCTTGTCCAGCTTAAAGCCAGCACCTACAGGGAGAGCAGTGCCATGGCCTGCCCAGGAGGACACCGTCCATTCCACACCCCACCCACCACCAAGCGCTCTTGTGTTCACAGTATGCATTTTTAAGTCAACCATATTCATTCTGGAAAGCTACAGGGGCCTTGGGACGTCTTGAAGCACAGTTGCCAAACCTCTTACTTTTATATCCAGTGGGATATCCAGGAAGGCCTCGTAGGAATCAGAGACCGTGTTGCAGCTCAAGCACCTGACTGGAAGGCAAATCAAAATGGTCAGTGGTAGGGGAAGTCAGCGTAAGAACTCATGGGCATATTCCTGCATGCCAGGATCAGAATGTTCTCCTATTCCTAAGAAAGAAGAAGTTATTAGTTCTCTTCTACAAGAATGGAAAAAATACTGTAAGAGCACCTGAAATGACTGACGTGTGAGAACACTGATGCAGCCCAAGGCTTGGCGGCACTGCCTGAGGAATACCTGACCTTGCTAATGTGTGCCTCCATTGTGCACATCATGCAGAAGCCTTGCTGGTGACCTGCAGAGGGAGGGAGGGAGGGAGGGAGGGAGGGAGGGAGGGAGGGAGGGAGGGAGGGAGGGAGGGAGGGAGGGAGGGAGGGAGGGAGGGAGGGAGGGAAGGAAGCTTCTCAAGTTAGCAAAATACCCATAGCCATGGGAAACCTGATGGGGATCTTGAAGTTATAAGAACAGTCTCCACTCCTCTTCTCCCAAGGTGCCAGTGTCCCAACAAGGCCAGGACATTTTAGTGCATAGAAAACATTCTTCAGAGGGACACTAAACTGACATAATTTTCTGTGCAATAAGCAAAGAGTTTGACTTGAAGGAATAGGGACCAAGACCCGGGGCTAGGAAGAGGTGCCTTTCTGAAGATGAACACACCTAGATAACACAAGCGGCTTCTCGGCTTCAGTGTTCCAAGAACACCCACTATAGGATTGACAAATGCCGTGGTTTAGGCCTGGTTGGCAGCCAACCACAATGCAGCAGCTCTCTCTCCCTTCCCCTCTGGCAATGAGAAGGGACAGAGAGCCAGGCTTGGGGTTCAAGATAGGACTGGGATGGGGAAAAATCCCCCTTTTATGATCACGAGCAAAAGGCAGACTCGTTAGGGGAAGAAAAAAAAGAACATACATTTATTACAGACACTAACAACACATAACAGAGTAAGACAGTGAGAAGCATTGCCACATCTTGAGAATACCTTCCCCCCACCCCTCCCTTCTTCCCGGGCTCAGCTCTGCTCCCGATATCTCTACCTCCTCCCCCAGTGGCGTGGGGGCAGGGAATGGGGGGTGCAGTCAGCGCTGCCACTTTCCTTCATCTTTGGTGAGGGGAGTGTCCGAAACTTGTTCCTCCTGCTCCATCGTGGTCCCCCTCTCACAGGAGACAGTCCTCCACAAACTTTCTCCAACTTGAATTCCTCCCATGGGCCGCAACGTTCCCCACACTGCTCCGTCATGGGTCACTAACTTCCTCTGACTGGATTCTCTCCCACGGCTGCAGCCCTTCCCGAGCTGCTCCGGCGTGGGACTCCCCTGCATGCTGCAATCCTCCCAGCGCTGAATTACAGCAGTGGGGGTTGCCTTTTCCCATGAGACCCCGGCCTTCTTCGGGCACAGCACCTTGATCAGGCGAGCAGGAGCAACAGGCCATAAATCAGTGTCTGCTCAAACGTAGATCTTCATGGGTGGCAGGGGGGGGCCGCCCTGCTGTCTCACCACAGGATACAGGGGGGTCTCTGCTCCGGCACACCTCCCCCCTCCTTTCTTCCTCCGTTCCTCCACTGACCTTGGTGTTCACGCAGCTGCAGCAACTCCTCCTCACAAGTCCGACTGCCCATCACCACGTCCCTTCTTGTTGATCTTACTCCTCTCTTCAGCTGATCCCATCTCCTGTTTCTTTTGCTTTGTTTGTGGGGGCTTACAGAGCCTCTTGGCCATGTCACTACTAACGTCATGCTGCCACGTGCCAGGACTGAGCATGGTGCTCAGGCTCCTCACCCCAATTCCCACAGGCTTGAAGGTAGAAATGCCTTTAGCCTGCCCCCCTCCCTCAGAAAAAGCACAATGAGGGACCGAAAGAAAAATTAACCTCGTGCTTCTCCACTGCCAGGCATCACAAGAAAATCCGGTTTCAGAGAAAGAAAACTTCAGTCTGCCTTCTACCGTGGCAACTTAGAAGGCTTTGTGCAAAGAGCCCGACTGGATTGATTCCATTTTTACACATTTATTTCTGGAGTCTCTCCATGCCACTAAAAGCAATGCTGTAGTGAAGACCAGCAGGCTCAGGCAAGCGATTAGGGCCTGCCTGCGGGATCAAGAGTCTCTCACAGGCTACTTACACCGGAGCAAGGCCCAGGCCGTACCTGTTCCTGAGGCTCATCAAGAGTGCCCATGGCAGTGCTGAAGACACCTTCAGCTTCAGAGTGACTGAACTCACTGGCTGAGTCGGTGCTTTCACCCGAGCTCCCACTCGGAGCACATTTGGGTTGCTCCTTGGTGGGTGTGCTGTGGGTGAGCACCGCGGAGCCTAGAAGCAATCTAGTACGGAAAAGAAAGCGTAAAAGCCAGTAAGTGAAAGCAGAACAGGGCTGGGCTGAGCAAAGCTGTCACTTGGCTCAAAACCCTTACGTGTTGTTTTGTTTTCCTATCTCGTGGCCTATTGTTTTCATTTCCTCTGTGGTGTTCAGAGGGTTTGTCAGGAGTTTGTTACGCACTAACACAATGCCTTCTTGACCTAGCGTACCCACCAGCTGCAAGGCCAAAATCGGAGCTAATGCTCAGGTATCACAAACGACACTCCCCTTCGGTCCGTTGAATTTTCAGACCCACTTGCTAGGAAGCGATTGATCCTAAACCCGTTGTGTTTGCCAAGCGATGGGGCGAGTTGGAGGCCCGGCAGCTGCCCCCCCCCCCCCCCGCAGCCCTGCACGCTGCTGTCCCAGCCCGGTCCCTCTGACGTGAGGCGGCTCAAGGCCCACGCGGTCGCCACGAGCGCCTGAAACCGTAAGTGAAAGGAGACATACGGCCCTGCGCCGGGCAAAGGTCTTCAAAAGGCGAACTCATCCCTGCTGCTAATTCTTTCACTCCATAAAGGTGCCACAGATACCAGTTTCTAAGAACTGAGATGTACACAATGAGATCAGAAGAAAGTGTAAATTATAGGCTCTCCCTCTCCGAGACTCATTTCTAAATGCAGGTCAAGTAAATTTAAAGGATTGTCAACAAACTTGTATAATATATAAAGCCGAGAAGCCAGGTGAATTAGGTGCTACGTCAGCATGCAGTCAATGATTAAAACAATTTAGAGAGGTGTCACTGACTGCTGCCAGGATGAATTATGCCAGTCTTTCCTACAGTATTAATTTGCGAAATACATTCGGAGTGCAGATGAAACAATTCTTTAGACAAAGACTGCACAGCGCAAACGAACTCCACACGGCAAATTACAATACTGCAGCACTGAAACGCAGTCAGAAACGAGAGAATAAAGCCTGTGCTCCTCAGCGACAATTCTTACACGCAGCTTAGGCACGTGCCGAGGGAGACGCAAATGAGAGGCCACCGAGAGTTCAGGCACTGCCGTCTGCAAAGCTCACGTTTTCATAACATCTCAACAGATGGACTAAGCGAAATGGAACTCAGACGGACTAATCGCAACACTTTCCAAACAGCTGCCCAGATTTTTTTTTTTTTTTTTTTCTTTTCATATCAGAACTCAAGGCTCTAGATTGAAAGCATCCATTCTTCTTCCAGACCCTAACCTGCCGTAGCGCTGACGTGAAGTGAATGGCTACTGGCTGTTCTGAGGAGCCCAGGCACAAGAACCAAGCAAGGAAGGCCAGTTAAGAGCTGATAGTGCTGTTAAATTCATCATTTCCCCCTCATCTTGATCATGCCACTGGTACGTGGGAGTCCGCGCTGGCGTGTGGGGACGATCGCTTCTTTTTGACAAGAAACGTGAAGCCAGTGCTGCTTTTTTAACTCTTGGAGGAACAAAGCGGTGTTGAGAGCTCGGAGTTCCGCGCTCAGAGCCCGGGCACCCCGTCCGTTGGCACTGCCCCCCCGTTCCTTGCCCCCCCGCCCCGCCCCGCCCGGGACTGTGAGGAGAGGGGGGTGGGCTCCTGCCTTGCTCGTACCCGTCGGAAAGAGCGGTTTAATCTCCTGCCGAACCGCATGGCGCACTGCCTCCGGGTCCGCGGGGAAGTCTCGCTCACTGGGCTGGCCAGGGACCCGCCCGCTCGCCCGGCGCCCGGCGGCGACCGCGTCTGGGGGCACCGGCCCGATCCGCGACCGCTGGGACTTGGGCGGGAACGCCGCGTCCGTAACCACGGCGACCGGACGCTGAGCCCCTCGCCCGGGCAACGCCCCTCCCACCGCTGGCCGCCGACCAATGGGAGCCGCCGATCTGCCCGGGGAACGGCCCCCCGCTGGCAGCCGACCAATGGCAGCCGTCGCCCGCCCCGCCCCTTGGCGTCGCGGCCGGGCGGCCCCGTCCCCTCAGCGCGCGGCTGCGCGGCGGGAGCGGCGGCGGCGGGGCGGCCATGGCGAAGCACACGGTGTCATCGGCGCGGTCCCGCCGGGTGGACGTGGGCGAGTACGACAACCCGCGCTGGGTGTGGGTGGCGTGCCCTGGCTAACCCCGCGCGCCGCCGGGTGCCCGTGTCTGACCCAGCCCTGGCAGCACACGGATGGAGTCGGCGCCGAACGGTCGGGGAACCACAACTGCAGTTGTCACCTCTGACTAAGGAAACTCTGCTCGCTCAGCCAGACCGTGAACCTACAAAAAAGGAAGAACTGCTGGTTATTGCATCCAGTCAAAATGAAGCCGTTAAAACCTCGGAAAATGCAAACCCTCCCCCATGACAGACTATAGGAGCCTGCTGCCTGCATGTATTTCTGAATCTCCCCAGAAAAATCCTGGAATGGCTCCTGACTGCAGCGGCGAGAGGAACAGGCAGATGAGCTGTGGAACTGCCTGACGGTGAGCGCCTGTGGAGGTCTGCTCTCCCCGCTCGAGGAGAGGCCCAGGCACGTTTCCGTGCTGCTCACCAGGCCACCGGTGGAGATTTTTTTTTCAGCTAGCCCCAGCCCTTTCCTGAGGGTTTTCAGAGGGGGTTCTGAGATCCAGCTGCTTGTTACAAATGGTGCTGTACAAAAGATGGAGCGGCTTTGTCCCCACATTAACGGGTTGCCCCTTCACATAAAGGCTCGTTAGGGTTACGCTGTGCTCATATACATCACCGCTGCGTCTCTCTGCCACCCTCATTTGCTTTTTGTTCTGTGAAAGGCCCATTTCTGTGTCTGAGAGAGGCCTCTTTCCCCCAGCCATGGGAGCCATTTACCTGTGACAGCAAGAGCTCTTGTTTTTCCAGCCCTTCCTCCTCTGGCCTTTCGTGACCCTGCCGAAGCGGTTTCTCCACAAACACCGTGGCTGAACACGACCCTGGTGCTCCCCAGGGCACCGGGCTCGGGGTGGGGATGGGGTGTGGCACAGCCTCGCCGCCCCGCTGCGGGCGCTTCCCCGGGGGGGCAGCAAGCATCGCTGTACTGGCCCTGAAGGAAATACAGCAGGGGTTTATTTTAATCTTTTTTTTTTTTCAAAAAAGTCTCTGCATCACCTGCCCGGCCTTTGTGTTGGTGGCCCAGGGCTACCCCAGCCTTACAGCCGGCCCGGGGGGGGACCGCTGCTCCTCGGCTGGCTCCCGCCCTCGCTCGGGAAACGATGCCGGCCGTGGGGCTGGATGCTGACCATGGGGCTGGATGCTGCCATGGCTGGATGCTGGTGGGCTGGATGCTGGCCGTGGGGCTGGATGCTGGCCGTGGGGCTGGTTCGGATGCTCGGGGAGGCTGGGTTCTCTTTAGCTTTGCTTTCCTTAAGTAGAGCAGTAGCAGTTTATTACAGAC